GGTTGCGTGTTGGTTGCCATCATGACAGGTGCGGACCCATTTGCCCCTGTGACAGTTGCAACACACACTTTCGGCTACGAGTACCAGCATTCACTAGCACTAAGGGACTGTGTTCCAACAAGATACATTATTTGCAGTCCGAGGGCATCTAGACATGTTCAAAATGAGGCATAAATGAAGTTCAATTATAAAAGGCCTAAATGACCACCAATTAGACACACAGTTGCGGTCGGGTCGAATGTTCGACGCGTCAAGTTGACGCGTTTGCGCAAGATGTCCATCAATTGAGACCCGGGCCGACGAATTTACCTTTTTGAGAGTTCAGCATCTCGATCAACCACGGGACCGGCCGCGGCAACACACGAGTTCCCGGTCCGTTTAATCCACAGAGGCAATCTCCCACAATTATCTTGACAGGTTCTCGGGAAAGGCTGCGGCCCTCAAAATGGCGCCGCAGGCCGGGAAAAAAAAAATCGAAGAAGCAGATGCACAGAGAATGATGTTTCTTAACCAGAAATTGAAAATCACAGAGGATGAGAGCTCTCCTTCCCTCTTCTCTTTTTTCCCTTCCCTCTTTCCTTTTTGGGAATTTATTATTTCGCTGATGAATCTACCCACAACACCAGTAACTAGCCAGAACCGGAGTTCACCGAGGCCAATTTTAGCGCGGCGTTGAAGCGGCACAGCCGCAGCCAAACCGTGGCCGCGACATGAGGGCGAAGGCAGAGATGAACACAAGGGGAAATGTCGGAAAGAAGCTGTTGGCGGAGTTTCAGACGGACCCCCGTAATCTTATAAAGAGGGTGAATTCACACATCTATTTTTGAATGAAGTTGTCACCTGCTCAACAGCTTCTGGCGCCAATCTGATATCGTGGCTACCACGTTGCCTCCTCCCTCCACCCGCATCTTCCTCTTGTTTTTCGTCTGAGTCCGCCTCCAGGAGATACTCCCTTGCCAGCAACAGGCACTTTCCCAAGCAATCACCATTGATCCACACCAGCATGCTTCGCAGAGATAATGAGTCCCAGACAGTTCATACTTACATCGGCGGTGCGAGAGGCATTTCGTTGGATACTGAAGCGATTCTTGATTTTCCTCAGGTGGCCAGGGAGGTCCTGGTGGTGACGGCCACATACATGGTGGCAGTGGAGGACAAGGGCAGGGTCCCACAGTGAATTATGATATTCGGGCTCAACAAATCATCATGAATAATCAGTTCACTGGTTCAGCGGTGGTGCAGGCATCTCAAATCGTCGACCATTACCCTCGGACTGTCAATAACTGTCCTCTCCCCTCGAGAATCTTTCAAGGCAGACAAGAAATCTTGAAGGAAATGCAGAAGTATTTCAAACAGGATCTGGGGACACAGCACATCTATGTGCTATATGGATTAGGTGGTGCTGGAAAGACACAGATTGGTCTGAAGTTTATCGAGGAATCCTCCCAGTGAGTTTGAGTGTCTTTCTCAAAAAGCAAAGTGTTGACTGGCAACGGCTTAGCTTTGTGGACAAAGTTCTGGTGGATGCGAGCACACCCGAGACAATTGATATGGGTTTCAAAGGAATCGCTACAGCAAAGAAAATTGGGGACTCCCCACAGGATGCCTTGCGGTGGCTGGCCAGTAACCATAATGAGTGGCTGCTGTTCTTCGACAATGCTGATGATCCAAAAATGAATCTGAACAAGTTTCTCCCAAAGTGCAAACACGGAAACATTGTTGTTACATCCCGCAATCCTGGCCTACGAGTTTATGGAGCATCTTCTCAGGTCACAGATATGGAAGAAGCTGACGCAGTGGTGTTGTTACTCCGAAGTGCTGCTCTGGGGTTGTCAGAGACCAATCAACTTGTGGCAGCTGAGATTGTGAAGGTAAGTTGTCCCCCACCTGTTCAAATATTTTTGTGACATTGTCAAGGTGTTATGTTATCTACCCCTTGCAATTATTCAGGCTGGAGCGTTCATCTCAGAATCTGGAGCTCTTAACACTTATCTGGAACTATACAAGGAAAATCGCACAATACTCCTTAGTGACAAACCAGCCCAGATGCATGATGACTATGCCTGGACAGTATATACAACATGGCAAATGAGTTTCAACAAGCTTAGTCCAGCAGCTGCAAAACTTCTACAGCTATGTTCCTTCCTCCACTGGGATGGGATTTTCGAAGAAATTTTCAGCAGGGCAGCAGCAGTCATATCAAATCCAACTGAGGAGTTCCAAGAGCCAATTGAACTCCTTTCACAGTTTCTGAACCCTACGGGAAAATGGGACTCTCTTCGATTCATCAAAATCATGAATGAGATCAAAGCATATTCTCTAATCAACTTTGATCCAGAGAGCAAAAATTATTCTATCCATCCTCTTGTGCATAGCTGGTGTCAGACACTGGCCACTGATCAAAAGTCATATCATTCTTGTATAAGTGCTCTATTAGCCATGTCTCTTGATGGAATAGCCCAGGAGGATAAGGAGCTTGCGAGTTTGAGACTAGTTTCTCATGTCAACTCATCTATGCTGGTGGGATCAAGGTTTGCTGCGCATTTTGGATCAGTGTATTATTATGCAAGACAGTACCAAGAGGCTGAAAACATTCAGCTTCGTATTGTTGATGAACAGAGAAACCTTTTCGGTGAGGATCATCTGGCTAACTTGTACCGCTGGAAAAGCTAAGAAAACTCCTAGGTGATGACCATGAATCTACTCTTCATGCCATTGAAAATCTTGCAAGAACATACTGGGCTTCGAGCCAGTACAAAACAGCGCAAAATCTGCAAATTCTTGTGCTAGAGAATCGTAGACGTCTTCTGGGGTATGACCATTTGGACACTATCCTTGCTATGCAGTTTCTGGGACGGACATACCGTAGTCTAGGTCAATTTCAGAAGGCAGAAGAGCTTCTAGTTTCTGTTCTTGAGAAACAAAGAATTTTTCTTGGTGATAACCATCTACACACCTTGCACACTATGCATAGTCTTGCAATGACATATAGTGACCTTGACCGACATGAAGAAGCCAGAAAGCTGGAAGTTGAGCTGGTGGAGAAGAGGAGAAAACTCCTTGGTGATGACCATTTACACACCTTATCGGGGATGCATAATCTTGCATGGACATATTATTGTCTTGGTCAGCTAGCAAAAGCAGAAGAGCTAGAAGTTGTTGCACTAGAGAAGCGGAGCAAGCTTCTTGGGGACTGCCACAAAGATACGCTGGATTGTATGCATAATCTTGCAATAATATATAATGACCTTGACCGACATGAAGAAGCCAGAAGGCTGCAAGTTGAGGTGGTGGAGAAGAGGAGGGAGCTTCTTGGTGATGACCATTTGACCACCCTATGGGGGATGAATAATCTTGCAGGGACATATTATCACCTAGGTCAGTTAGCAAAAGCAGAAGAGCTACAGGTTGTTGTACTAGAGAAGCGGAGAAAGCTTCTTGGCAACTGCCATAAGGATACACAGTGGGCTGCAGAGAATCTTGCAGAAACCTTCCGGCATCTGGATAAATTCCCTGAGGCAGAAGAGCTTGAGAAATTTATCAAGGACAACCAGAACAAATCTGCAGGCTCTGACAACCAGGTCCCTGAACAACCTTGAAGTGGGAATAGCTGAAAATGCCAACTGAGTGTAAATAGTATATACTGTATCTTTTCTCCCGGTGTATTTATTTATTTGAATGGAACGAGAACATTTGCCTGAATCGGCTTGGCCTGTTTGATGCACATGAGCAAGGAAGGAATGAGTGGAAACAGAGAATCTAGTCTAAAGCAATCTTGCAAACCTGTTTTCCCTCATTACACTGATCAGCCAAACAGTGGTACCCGGGTGCAATAATATTATTGTCTGTGGTCAACTGAACCTAGGCGTAAAATATTATCGGAAGCATGGGCCGAGCACTGACACTAGATGTAATATTATTATTTTACTAGTCAGCCGATGCTAAAGTCAGTAGGTATAATAATAATATTATTGTCCTTCAAAGGCTAGATCAGCTGAGTCCCGGTCTCCTGGGCTCAAAATATCATTCAGAGTATCAAAGGAAGTAAGGGCAGGTGCACACCGTGCACTCTCAGGTGTTGCCCTCCTTACTTCAAGAGCAGATAGGTGTTAGTATAAATTGGTGGGCCTATTGAAATCAAGTCTTGAATGGAGTTCAATCAGCCTTAGTATCTTATAAACAGATGCTACAACGATAAACTCGTACCTCGTTTGTTGTAGTCTGTCGATTCCCTTTGACGGATGATCGGAGGGTCCCCTTATCAAAATCTCGGATATTGAACTGCACCGCAGGACGTGCATTCCACGTGTTTTCTGGAAGAACCTTACTCAGTGAATGAGGACTAACAAACCCCTCCTTTACAGTTTTCTTCCAGAGTTAAGGACCGCGATGCCGAACTTTCAGGGGTTGGCCGCTGATGAAGCTAAACATTTCTGCTGTACATAGTCCAGGACCAGGGGGATATTCTGAGGATGCAGAGCGTGAGTGAGTAGAATTACAAAGGGAATGGCCTCTCAGCTTAGGTTAACTGGTGTGTTGAAGGTCCTGAATGGTGAGAGGGGGATTTTAAACTCCGAAGATTATGTAATAACCCGACCCTCCTTGTATTGATCGCGCGGTTAACTACAGACTAAATCAGCCTAGATTTGTTCTCGAACAGCGCAAAAAAGAAGATGTTGTCTTACAACGCATCACCCAACCCCGAATCAAACGTGGACCTCCTGATTATATATTCCATTTCCTTGATCAACCAGGGAATGCAGGTGCACACCATGTGCTATCAGGTCCTCTCCTACTCGGTTTAAGGCTCAAGAAGGGTGATCAGTGAGTAGACTTTTAAGCACACAGACTCCGGTCCGAGTCAATCATGTATGATTCATGTTGTACTTTACCCATGATACCACAAGTCCAGAAATGGATAGGAAAATCAACCCCGCTCCGGGAGATAGTATGTATGAATCAATCAAACAGCTTAAAAAGGAAATATCTTCCACGGGAAATCACCCGACCCCGAATCGAACAGGGACCTCCTGCCGACAAAAATTGAGAGGTTATGTGTGCAAGAGGCAGGTGCACACCGTGTGCTATCAGGTGTTGTCTTACCTGCTTTAAAGTGGGGGAAGTGCAAGCCCGGGCAAAAATTGGTGGGGTGGGTGGAATAAAGTTTTGAATGGAGTTCAATCAGTCTAGATCTGTTCTCAAAATTTGCCCACGATGGAGGCACACAGACTGGATGAGAGAGAAAATCAACTCACAATCCTGGAGGGAGGATGAATGAACTTGGAGAGCCCATAAAAAACAGAAAAAGGATTTTTCTTTGCTGCGTGACCACCCAACCCCGAATCGAACAGGGACCTCCTGTCTACATCTTGCGTAGCCTCCCGCTTAGGCGGAGTATGTGCACATCATGTGATATTGGGTGGTGTTCTACCCACTTTGAATGTGTGTAGGTATGAGCAAAAATTGGTGAGGTGGGTGAAATCAAGTTCAATGATGTTGTAATTTTTCCATATCAGCCATGATACCACAAGTTCACAGAAACAGATAGTAAATCAACCCAGTTATTGGAGAAAGGATGAATGAATTGGAGAGCCCACAAAACAAGGATTTTTCCTTGCTGTGGTGATCAGGGATGACGTTGCATGCTGCACTGGGTATGGGAAAGCATGGTGATGTGAGTCCGAAAACGGGCAAGGGCCTCCGAGATCTCATGAAGATGTGGGAAGGCGTTGATCATTTATTTATTGTCGAAGTGTCGATGGTCAGTTGTGCGTTGCTGTACGAGATCAGTGTTGCGTTGTGTGCTGCTACGGGTTATGCAAATTCTATATTTAGTGGAATAAACATCATTGCGAGTCCTAAAAAATTATTTTTAGACTCGTTATTTGATTCCTTCCTACCGCATTCTTGAACTACGTTTTCTGCCATGACGTAGATGTACCTGTCAGTGAGTTCTCAGCAATCACCCATTTTTGCCCCATCTGTGCATCGTGCCGTTTCGCATGCTTGTATTTTAATGCTTGATGTCTCGCGCAGGGAGCTGACAGTTGTTAGAGCTAGTTACACCACATATATTTTGAAATATTTGCTCCTCACCATAAATCGGAACTGCCGCTCAGAGGGAGGCTTCGTCGGGCGCGCATCCAGTTTGCGCCGACGTCGGACGGCCGCAATTAATCCAGTTACGGCCGTAATGCGTTCACCGATTGGGTCGTTCCCTGGTCGACCAAGGATTGCACATTTGTTTTTTGGTGTTTGAACCTTGTTGTTTTTGCTTCTGCAAACTCCTTTAGATTACTTGCTCCTTCCTCATGGCTTATATGTGAGCCCGAATCCGGTGCAGCAGCGTGAGCATCAAATTCGCGCCGGGTTTGATGGCCCATCAGACAAACTCACGCGTGAAGCAGGAAGTCCACGGAGCGGGCAGATGGCCAGGGAACATAGGTGGAGCTAAGGATCGGAGCTTGAAGTATTTCTACACCCGGCACCGGAAGAAAAATAGGATGACTCCTTCCTAGACCCTGTAGGATATGCAAACATCCATACCTTTTTTTCGTGGCTCGCGAGTCTCGCGCGGCCTCGTTCCTCGGCCTACTCGCCTCAGTCTCACCTCGTGAGAATTGAGAGATTTCAGTTTACCCCTAACCCTTTACCCAGTTCGGGGTTTTTTCCATGAGTTTTTAACAACTTTACCCATATCCGGATTTATAGATTATAGATTTGACTTTATTTACGATGCCGCCACGATGCCGAACTTCACATGTCATGGCCGAACAATGCCGGGCTTGATGGCTATTCGTCTTCCAGACCTGGTATATGGTACCAGGAATTACCGATGAGATTTCCCCGGCTCTTAAACCTGAGGCATCAAATCAGGTTTTCGGCCGGAGTAATTTTATCAAGATACTGGGTGACTTCCCTTAACGCATAAACAACTTTTCAATTTTTCTGAGCTTGTTTGAGGGTGCCAGTGATGCTGGCCAAGTTTAGAATATTCAACCTATGCACCGAAAGCTAAATTTTCACCAGCATAAAATCACCATGTGAGTTCCGCCGTTTTCGAGGAAGACCGGCCGGAATGGGCTCCGAGAGGTAACAAGAGACCACTCCATTTTTCTTGGCACAAATAGGCCAAATGCTCAGTCCAGAGGAAGGCGGGGAGCGCTGTCATACAGCCAAAGAGTTTATTCACTTTTGTTATAATCTGGAAGAGGGGTACCTACCCCCTCTTCAGATTTAAGTCCGAATAAATTTTGAATAATTCTTACCGCGTTTGGGTCCCCGAAGTGATGGGGTCCTGACAGCTGTCGCGGCGTTTGGTCGGAAAGCTTCAAAAAATGCGAAAAGCATTGTTTATGCGTTAAGGGAAGTCACCCACTTTGAGTAAAAAAACTAACTTAATTCCCGTCTTTTTAGGCCCCAGCCCTGTGACCTCTCCTCTCGGGTCCACCATAGCCTGCACAATTCAGTCAGATATTAAATGATTCCCGCAATCTCCGCCGTTTGACTCACTTCAACTGCGGGGGATTTCCATCACCCTGCGCTGCCTATATAATTCGCTTGGATCGATCGATCCAATCAGTCCTGCGTTCTCCTCCTTGCCCTCTCCCCGCCGGCTCTATGCAAATGCCTCGGTGTTCTTTTCCCAAGTGATATCTTCCCGAAACTATCCTTCAACATCGAAGTACCGAGGAGCTCAAGTCCAGAACAAAATCCAAGCTTCTGCCAATTTCAACTCTGTCCGATCCATCCGGTGCCATAGCAAACTCGGGTGAATTTTCACAAAAGCTATTGGCTCCTATCTGCTGAAGTCCTCTCGAATCAAGTCCCGATGCCGCGTCACTCCCAGCACATCACCACCCAGAGTTCTTCGCCCCGATTGCTTTCGAGCATGCAGTATATTCACCATAAATTCAACAATGCCTTGATTCAATGTGGAGGGTGGATGTGAGCTCTCGAAGTCACCCCTTTCTCATTCAATTCTACTCACTGGTTTCCCACATCAGCCTTTTGACATTTTGGTTGCCGGTTGTTTGTCGTTGTCAGGTTGCCGCAACCTCAGGACATTAAAACACATTAAATTCCCGCTCAGCACGATGAAGAATGACTTCGGAAACAAGGTGAGATGGAAGCTAGAGACTCAAAAACATTTCCCATCTACTCAATTTCTCCGTGCGACTTTGAAAAAAAAGATATTGCCTTTTAGTCGGGTCGAACTCGTGAGGTTGCGCAGGAGAATTACATAGGGTTGCAAGGTTGCGAGGTTGTGCGAAGTTGCGTCGATTTTGGCGGAGGTTGTTAAGTTGTACAACCTGACAACCTGACGTGTCAAAAGTCTGATGCAGTCGTAGTTCTCAACCTACATACTTTACATTGAAATTCCATTATACCCTGGCGTTAACTTGCCGTTAACAAATCTTGTGGCACAGTGAACTCTTTCTTACTGCCATTTCCTTCCCCTGGACTGAGATTGGTCCCTCAAATATTCCTGTGAATTAAGGATGACTAAACAAGGATCAGTGCAGCATACGACAGATAACTTGTACGGTCAACAACCCGGCGGCCCAGACGGTAAACCAATTAATTGAACTCTGTACAGCATTTCCCCCGTTTTCCGGAGCGAAGCGGAGGCTGTTCTTGTTTTGATTAATAAAAGGATAACCAAAAGGACCTCGGCATGGCAGGACAGGCCATCACATGGGGCGATGGAAAATCACGGCGAACAGGGAAATCGAGGGTGAACATCACTCGGGCATGATGATTGCGGAAATTCTTTGTATTTGGCTAGCTTTATAAGCAATACCGTACCTTCAGTCAAAGATGATGCTCACACCATTCACCAGCACATCAATCCATCAAGCCATCAATTCAACTTCCCGCAGTTCGATTCAAACAGAATAATCGTTGTAGGCCCGCGTACCGCGGCAGAGCCCGCTATCCTCACTCCAACATTTTCTCAACTTGAACCACTCGCATTTACCCTCACTTGTTCTATCCAAAAAGCGGACGAACCCTTGGGAAATCGTCCTCGGCCCGCAGTGTTACGGCTAAGCGGTTTACAAAGGGTAAATAAAGGTTAGGATTTGTTTTAAACGACCTCGGGAGGTGCCTGGGACGAAGTCGAGGGCGCCGGTGGCACAACGAAAGCGGCGAACGCCGTAGGGATAGCGCGCTCTGCCCGAGTCACACTGAGCCGATCCGCGGAGTTGGGCGCAATTGGAGGAGTGCGAATCACGGCGGTGTAATCGTCCGACTTTGCCAGAACGCGGATGCTATGGGCGTTCAGCTGATAAATCTGTGCGGGAGTGAGAAAAGGATATTGAGTGGGAATGAGCCGGACATGCCTTCCGTTCTCTGGCCCCTTTGCCGAACGTGTCAGGCATGTTGAAGCAATGCAAAGAGCAGAGGGCGAGAACGAGCGTTCCGGGTTTCAACTCCTGGTAGATCTTCCAGGGGGGAATAAGTTCCTTGTTGATGTCTCGTATGTTCAACTGGACGAGCTTGGCTTTGACGTGGTTGAAATATGACCCGCCGTAGTCGCACAAGAGGGAAGGCTCGTAATGAGCACCCAGTTTAATCTCCGAAGCTGCACAAAAATGTTCAGAGTGGAGCGACGAAAAAACGAATGACGGCACTCACGGCCAGGGAACTCCTTGGCGCCGTCATCTGCAACGACCTTCGCAGCTACATCCTCATCAGCCTCGTCCAACCTATGCTTGGCAATAGATCTAGCTTTGGGGGCACCAGCAGCCGACGGTATCTACGATTATCATGAGTACCAAGTCGCGCGAGCTATTGGGAGGCCGAACACCGTATTTTGGGAGGGTATTGATGAACAAGATCTGGTGATTTTCAGAGCCTTCCGAAATAGGTTTCGACCAATTCTTAACGATAGGACTCTGAGCAAAGTGATCAGTAAAGGACCACATCCTTGCCGGGAAAGGGAAGTTGAGACTCGAACTAACACACCTTGCCGGCCCGGGCGTCCTCCCTCGCATTCTCGGAAGTGATTTGGCTGCCCACGATGATCTGGTTGAGGAAAGTGTTGTGCATCTTGGTCGACGCGGAAGTCGGGATACCGAGTGCGATAACGT